AATATCAACTTCTTTAAGCAAATCATGCTCTATATTCAATAAAGTAAGATGATTAAGACGTTCTTGTCCCATCGTGTTCCTTAATTCATTTTTAATACGTTTTAATGTTGAAAAAGAACGTTCGCCACTGCAGTTAGTGATCATGAGAGGCATGTAAATGCGCAAGGCAATTTCTAAGTTTTGAAAACACGATTCTAAAGAATTATTTATTAAAAGTTTATAAAATTGCTGCTCCAGAGGCTCCGGTTTTTTGCTGTCAATAACAGTAGCCACATCTGATTCTGTTTTCAGCAGCTCTGCAAACTGCACTAATTCGCCACCTAGGCTGTTCTCCAAATCATCCTCGTAAGCACTGACCATACTTAAGGATTTTTCCAAAATCTCTTCTGGTGTAAGAGATTTTAATTGTCGAAATACTTCAAAAATACTAGTAATCTTATGATATGCTTTCATACGTTTAGTTAAAGCAGACAGTACGTTATCAATAATGACAATAAACACCTGAACTTCGAAACGTTGTCCAGGTGTTTGATTTTTAACAAAGTCGTCGAGTGTAGTAGAGCCGCTGAAATGGTCGTACTTTGTATTTCGCTTGATTCGTCTTGATGTCTGTTGCTGGTATTCTTCACAATTGGTCAGATCTTTGGCTCTTGCCTGAATATCTGAAATGTGGATCGCATTTTTTGGACGTAGATGATTCATAAAGAGGGTCTTGATCAGACGATTGCAGCGAAGCACTAGTCGCTTGCATGCGTTCTAGGATTCCGGATTCCATGTAATTGTCGTTATTCCCGTTTATAACTTATTCATCGTTGAAACTAGTCCGTAAGCTATTTAAACAGCACTCCGGTTTTTGATCCACGTTACTGAAAATGTCTTCCAAAACTTGCTTAATAGTGACGAAACCACATAAAAGTGCCTTCGTAGCATTAGCTCGGGCTGGCCGCTTGAAGGGTAGAAATGTGGTATAGATGCTAGTCTAAATATATCGATTATAATTAAACATTAGAACATTCACGTTAAAAAGTTCGTAAAATAGCTACCTACTTATTTTTATGATTTAACGTGATGAAATCGAGTTTTAGATTTTCAAGTGAAAGTAAAGCATAGCCTAAGCGCGTTTAAGGCATACAAGATATTTTACGCTACTCAATCAAAAAAAAAATCAAAATCAAAAATATTTATTCAGTTTAGACCACAAGTGGCACTTATGGTCTAAACTGAATACTATCTAAATTAATCTTTTTTTATTTCGGTCAGACAGGCGTTGGAGCGCGGGGCCCCCAAATTCGCGGGGCCCGTAGCATTTGCTACTCTTGCTACGTGGCTAATCCGGCACTGAATTTATAAATAATTTACAAAAATAAATAAAATGAAGTAACAATTTTAAATTTATACTGGCAACATCTTCAACAAGTTGAAAGAAATTGGTAGAATTTAGTAGTTTTTTCGGATATGTCGGATGGGCAGAGTTCCGTAACGATTGTAATGAGAAATTATAGAATTAACTGTGAACGTCGCGAATTTCTACATAAATATAGTATTAGAATAATCAGTTACTCTAACTCCATTTACTAGGTTTTAAAGTTGACCAATATAATTTCTGTGACCACTACTATAACCTATAGAGGTGAATAATTTATCAACCTTTCTTGTAATTGAAGTAAGATTCTTTAGCTCGCGATAAATGAAAGTGTTGTTTACATTTTGTGTAGTGCACGGTGTACAGGAATCGTTCGCGTAGTGCTTGTATTGTAGAAGTAACGGCATCGGTTAATAAACGAGTGAATATGTGGAAGTGGATTTAGTTGGTTTTTGTGTAAAATGTGTTTGATCCTGTCTAATTTAATTACAAAGTGCATTTGTGGTGTTTGTGCTCGGATGTTGCCGTAGGATTGCCATGTCCAGACTCGTCGATTACTTCGTGATAGTGGGATTTGACCACGAAAAAGAAAGTGAGTATAAACATTCCATAAGAGTACTTAAAAAGTTCAGGATCTTAGATTAAACCAGTCTAGACGACAAGATTATTTTAACTACGTCTTGTTTTCTGCTTACACGACCAATATTATTTTAGCATTATACTAACCAACATAGACAATCAGAGCCTAAGCACAAATCATAAAAAGAACTTTATATCACCAATGTTTCTACTTAAATCATTGTACAAATGATTACTAAACTTCCCCTTAGAAACCCAGTTGAAACATGCCTAGTTATGCCATGCTAATTTGTAGGCAATGCAACTCTTATCAACTTGTGATAAGGAGTTGTTGTGTAATCCAAACAATGGGATTTTGTTCATAAAATGCAATCAGTGTTAAATCTGGGCTGTATATTTAAAGCCAACGTTGGTTATTTACTTATAAAAATTAATATGAGAGCCAAATCCAAGGGAAATACATGTTTTACAAGTGTTCAGAGTTTCCAAGTACCAAGTCCAACTAATCAAGACTCTTTAAAAATAAATAAATACTTATTTTCTGCATCAACAAAGACTCAAAAACACAAGTAAATAAAATTAATAGATATTTTTAGTTTTAATTTTTGTAATTTATTTTAAATTGTAATTTTTGTGCGTACCTACCTAATTATATTATTGTTCATATTTATTGTCTTTATTACTCTGTCTGAGTGTTAAAATATTATGTTAATGTCCAATTACTTTTTGATTTAACCCTTAAGTAACACCGTGGGGTATTATTTTACCCCAGGCGCATAAAAATTGACATATCTTTTTTTCTACCTAAGCTAGTGGAATGTCGTTTTGTGTATTCTCAATGCAGAGTGTGCGCTTTAAGCTCGTAGACGCGGGATCTGAAAAAAATCATCTGTTTGGCTTGTACAGGTAGGTGGGGTGGAAAATTACCCCAGGGTGTTAGTTACGCATGCTTGAATTTTTCATCACCTAACATCTTATTAATAGGTTTTTACAATATTTAAACAAAATGAGTAAAAATTTATATGACGATTAGGTAGCACGTTGTCTCGAGAATGCAGAAAAATAAATAGAGCTTGATTTACATGATACTTTTCGAACTTTGAAGACATCCCCTCAGAACACAGCGTTCATAAATCCGACACAGAATAAGAGCCCAAAAGTGATAATTATGTATTAATTCAGCGTGTCTGATGTGTTTTGAAAAAAAAAATCAGGAATAAAATAAATAAAAAAAAATATATTCATAATTTTATAAAAAAAAAAGATTTTTTTATTTTGCGCTATTATAAAGTCACAAATTTTCATTTTATTTCATTTTGTGTTTAAAATATGTATAAAACATCTATTCAATGTCCGATTAGTGTAAGTTTTTGGTTCCCACAATAATTTTCCGAGATTTTTCTAGAAGATCATTGTGGAGACTATTAATTGCCAATGAAAAAATCTTTGTTTTTTGTTATGATTGATTTAAGATGTTTCTTTACGCTAGATAGACGTTCGTTTAAAAAAATAGTATAATTTAGTGAGTCCATTAATACACTGTAAATCACAAATTAAATTGCTTTTAAATATTTACTTCAAATTTTTCAATTTCCCTTTGGGGTATTTTTTTTACCCCAGGGTGTTTCTAAGTGTAACCAAAAATAAGGATGTTACTTAAGGGTTAATTGCTTTAGGCATTCTAGGTTTGTTACTTTGTTTGCATCTTTAATTACTGCCCCTGTGTTATCAACAAATGTGTGTCACTCAAATGACTCAGAGTAAATACTTTATCAGGTCACTTAGTATTGATTAAAGGTCATTACTGTTGTGTGTGTAAGTAATATACCTACTTACAATACAATATTTTGTTGTAAAAGTCTTATATTATACCTACTAGCTTTGCGCTCACGGCTTCGCTGCGTGGAATTTTGTCTGCCACAGAAAAACTTTACTGTTTCAAAAACCAGGATAAAAACTATCCTATGTCCTTCCAAATGCAATACAGACAGACAGACAGAGTTACTTTCGCATTTATAATATTAGTATAGAGTATAGATAGAATACAAAGATTAAGTAGTTAATTATTTACTATGAGTAAGGATTTTTAGTTATTTTTTACAGCAAAGTTGTCTAGAAAAGTGAATAAATTGGGCATTGATTCAATCAGTTATTATTACCTACTCTTTACCCAAACAGGAAATCAAAGAGGTACATTATTTTGAGTTTAAAGTAGATTGCCCAAATAAATGTAATTAAACATTATAAAACTGTCCAAACTTAGCTAAGGCCCAAATGATAGAATATTTTTATTTTGATGCTATTAGCTTAATTTTTATTTAATACCTCACTCAAGTATTTAAATAAAGTATCTCCATTCATCATTCAAGTAATATCCATTTAAATTACCAAGCCCCTATGCTCCAATTCAAGAAGTTATTAAATGTTTATCAAGTGACATCACCTATCATGGTCATTGACACCATGTGTGTAGGGTCTTATGTCAGACATATTGTGTGAACATTCCAGCTTTGCTATTTATAATTGAAGCTTTAGCAATAGGGTGTAGTTTAGCATTATTTTGTATTTTGATATTGAATAAAATTGGTTCAGTACAAAACAGTTCTTGAACTGAAGTGTTGACATAAAATTATCAACTTTCATTACTTCTGTGAACTTAAACTGCTAGATAAGATTATTATTATTACCTATATTCAAGCCTAGACAAGAGTTACTTAGTAACCATGGAAGTACCCCTTTCTAAATTTTCATTGTAACAATGATTTATTATATCAATCTCTTTGTGAGCTGGTTCGTGCGCCGGAAGACGTCAACCGTGTTTTCAGGTTCAAATGCCGTCAAGGGCTTTTTAATTTTACGGCAATAATTTTCTACTGTTTCCGACGTGCGCCTTCACTATTAGGTTTTACCATCTGCTTCAGATCCTGGTTATACAGGAGCAATGTTTTATAACAATTACATCGTGCATACCACTCCAGTACGACATAGTGTCACTATTTAATATCAAGAATAATTAGGTACTTTTCGCCCTTCGTGTTTTAGCCCTGCTTAGAGGATATTGCATATTGCTCTAGATAAGCAGAAGCGGATAGAAAAGCCCCTGCAATAGTTATGGCCCTTAATTTATTCATAAGCAAAGGAAAAACTGCATACTAGTTGCCAATAGTAGCCTTCCTGTTTTAATCCAGCAAGACTTGCTTTAGCTTTAATCAGTTATAGTATTCGGCAAACAAAGTATGACATACATACGAAGAACATTATTTCGGAACTTTGGGAAACACGTCACCACAGAAAATTGATAAAACAAAGCATCCATTCTTGTTTACTTCCTATTGCAGTCCTCCAGTCGAACCTTAACTTCGAACTCCTCCTATGTTCTACTGAATAATTTCGCTGCGGGTCCAATGACAGTTTAACAAACTTGACCTTCACTGGTTGGGTTTTTTATTGGCGGTCAAGCTGTAGATCCTGGCTACACAGGAGTTGCAGCGGTGGGAACGAGAGGTGGGAACCTTGTTTACTTCTTACGTTATCTTTAATCAATTAGTAAAAGGAGATACTTTTCTAGTACTCCGTAAGAAAGTAAATAGTCATGTCTGGTGGGATTAAGACGAATTATGATTATAAATAATGATACCGTCACGTCAAACGGGCGACACGCACGCGTGCGCTCTCTGCTTCGCTTCGCTTCTAATCTATTCGAGTCTGGTGGCTGTATTGTTGATCTTGGACCATTAAATTAACTGTACTGAGCAATGTTAATCTTCTTGCAGAAGAGCTATCTGTATTGTACGTCCCGGGAAGTTTGGCAGCGCTTTCCCACCTCTCATTGCCACCGCTGCAACTCCTGAGTAGCCAGGATCTACAGCTTGACCGCCAATAAAAACCCAACCAGTGAAGGCCAAGTTTGTCCCGGGAGAAAGTTAAACTGTCATTGGACCCGCAACGAAATTAATCAGAACATAGGAGGAGTCCGAAGTTAGGGTTCGACTTCCCTCATTGCAAATTGGCAGTGATATCGTAACATAATTCTCTGTCACATCTCAAGAATAAAGAAGCTTGCCCATTTCCCCCCTCTTACAAAAAAGGAGAACTTTTTCTTTCGTTTCCTATCGTCCAGCACCTATAATATTCATCTGATGAAATATTTCAAAGTTATAAGTAGGTGCTACGACTATATTAAAAATGTTAAATTCGTAATGGGTGTAGTTCTCTCTGACATCATGATTTGATAATTCTTGTGGCGATGCTGCTTTGAGTCTGAATAACAGCTTAATTAGATAATAATATCAATATTTCCAAATCCATTTCACAACCGAATACAGTTATTCGTCCTTCAATTGAGTTGCGCAACTAAAGAATACATCAAGTGTCAAAGAGCAATAGCAAGTTCTATCGTCTCACAAAAATATCAAATCTGCGTAAATATGCATAGTTATTTTAAAATGTTCAGTCATTATGATGTCATATTCAGTCCGTGCAACAAGCGCCCGACACCGTCGTTAATAACATCGAAGCACCATTCACTAAACCTCGGGGCTATTGGTGTTGGTTAAGCGTTTATCTGAGTCAGTGTCTGAGGTATGGGACCGGCACGGGAGAGGTGACATTGACATATTATGACATGACAGAGCATACAAATCTGAATCTGAGTTATTCAAATTTATGTATGCGAGTCATTTCTACTAGTATCTTAATATGTAAGTCTGATATTAGCACGTCACTACTTGTGTCACTACCTTGTTTAATATACCACGCAATCTTGTATGTACCCATTCTTATAAGATACACCATACAAGAATGCATGGTAAATTCAGTGAACTGCTCCTGAATCGAATGTACCTACTACTACTATTTCTATTTATTTATATTAACCGGCAGACAGTGGTGACTAAGTTTGTTGCGGCGCTTCTTCTCAGCACTTGCCAAATGTTGGTCTCGAAGCGCTGGTAGGGTAAAAAGATAATGAGACATGTAGAGGCTCCTTAAGAGCAAAATGACGATTTGTAAGAA